GCAATCCTGAGGAAAGGTACAAGGGTGTAATAGAGGCGGGATTCCGACTGGATAATACTCCAGTAGCAGAGAAGCTCTTAGCACCAGAAACTGCGGTCAGCTGCCTCTATTCCCAGAGATGCGGGACCTGAAACAGCCGCTTCCCAGAGAAGTCTGCGCACCCGCTGCACCACATCCAGAGTGAGTGCGCTGGGGAGCCCAGGTGCGCTCCCCACATAGCTTGCGGCCAGGCTCACGCCAGGACTAGCCAGGTGTGACGGAGACCCCAGGGGGCCCGCGGCGCACCACGCCGGGGGTCCAGCGACGCCCCCCATACTGTATCTCAAAGGGATTCCTATAGTAGACATGAGTGAACTTGAGCCTGATACTTTTGAAGAAAAAAAAATACACAAGGAAAGCAAATGGTACTCCCTCTGTATAGAATACATTGCCACCCCAGCCAGGAGACCACCAGTGAAGATGGGAAAAATGAGGTACTGAGTACATGATTTTGAGGCAGGTAAATTTTGGGCAGTGGTGTTTTTGTTTTTTTCAGTGCTGGAGAATGAATCCAGGGCCTCACACATGCTATGCAACTAACTGCTCTACCGTTGAACTACAACCCTAACCTCAAATTTAAAGCAATCTATGGGCTGACAAGATGGCTCAGCAACATAAGCCCTTGCCTAACAGCCAGATGACATAAATTCAATTCCCAGAACCCATGTGGTGGAAGCAGAGATCGGACTCCCCCAAGTTGTCTTCTGATCTCTAGAGGCATGCGATAGCATATGAGAGAAAGAGAGAAAGAGAGAGAGAGAAGAAAATGATAAATTCTTTTTTAAAAGAAACGCTAAGACGTAATGGATACTTACACGCTAACTTGTAAACAGTTCAATTCTTTCACTGCACAATGCCTCAAGTCTTCACACAATTGACATTGAATTCTATCTGTAGGGCGCTTCTCTTCTATGAATGGAAACCTGATTTCTCAATCATGCTGTGGTTCAGCGTGTCGAGTAAACGCTGAGCTGGCCTCTGAAGGTGGATCGGAACTGCGTAGGGTTTGTTCCATACACCTGAAGCACAGAAAGTGGGACACAGAGGCAGGAGACCGACAGAAGAAGCTACAGAATAAAGATATCCAGGGAATGAAACAAAGGACTTGCAGTCTGGGAAGGGAGGACAGTCTGGCCACCCCTGGTTCCAGGTGTCCTCGTCTGTGGAGATACACGAAGGACTTGCAGTCTGGGAAGGGAGGACAGTCTGGCCACCCCTGGTTCCAGGTGTCCTCGTCTGTGGAGATACACGAAGGACTTGCAGTCTCGGAAAGGCAGAGAGAGGTCTGGTGAGCAAAGTCTCAGACCCCAGCACTGGAGTGAACAGAGGAAACTCCCTCAAATGACAACCTGCCCCAGGCACAGACACGGCGCCAAGCGGCCACCGGGACCCCGAGGGCCGGTGCTGGAGGAACGGTGTCTCCAACTCACACCTTCGTCCTCAGTGCGCCTAAACCACGTAAGGAACCGTGGGGCCCGCGGTGACAGACGCGTCCCAACGCCGACCTCGGAAAGGAAAGGCACCGGCGCGACGACAGGACCAGGGTCCCCAGGCCGGGCAGCCGGAACGGCCGAACCCGGAACCATCAGAACTGGTTTCTGTCGGTCTTCTTGGGTGAGGCACGGCCAGGAAGTCCCGGCCCGACTGGCTGGATAGCACAGGCTCATTTGGGCCCCCAGATGCCGCCCACTCGACGCCAAGGTTCAGTGCAGCCAGAGCGGCCACCTCAGGGCCAAGAGAAGACGCCCCAGGATCCAGAGCAAGGACGAAACCATGCTTACAGCCTCGGTTGACTCGCCAGGGCGTACCCGCCTGTCATCACGCTACTGCAGAGAGCTAGTGGTGTCCACAGGCCTTTGAGTCCCACAGCGCCCTCTTTAACTAGAGGATGGTAGCACAGGTATGCGGATTCCTGGGTGCCCCTGCAGTGCTCAAATTGCTCTGGACAGGAAACAAAAAATTCAGTCCTTCTGCCCAAGTTCCCTGCGTGTCTTTCACATTTTCAATCATTTACATTTTGCATATTGGTCGTATTTACTTTCAAATATGCATATCCTCTCTCCATACAAAAGCAACATACTATATACTTTATACAACATATTTCTCCCAAATTAAATATATATATTCTAGTTTTTAAGGTCACAGTGCATTTCATTTATTATAATCAACATTAGTATCATAATTTATTTAAGATGTCCAATATTGACATACTTCTCCTTATTTTGGAAGTTTTTGTCTTGATTGTGGTTTAGATCTTCTGATACAGAAAATGCAACAATGTGAACATCCTTATAGGTATATACTAACTATATCTAAATTCCTAGACGTGGAATTACTGAAATTCAGGAAACACAAGCCAACATTTTGGGTAATAGTGCCTAATTGCCTTCCAAAAAATTTATCAGCCCATTCATAGCCAGTTTTACAGGTATTGCACACTAGACATCACAATAGCTGTGGACATCATGGCTTTGTTTTAGCAAATACCAAGAGTTCACATCCAGTATTTCCACATATCAGACATAGAATCCATTACCTATTTGGAAATCTCTTAATTCATCTACAAGTGGAAGAACAAAGCACAGGAAATCTGAACCAGTGGACTGTAGATAATTATGATTATTTTTAAAATAAGTTTTAACTTTTAGCTCCTAATTTCTGAAAGTACTTTTACATCCACTGTTAGTAATATTGACATCAATTTTAGAGCTGGGTAAGCAATAAAAAAGTCTGGCATTGAATGAGTCAGTTAATGAATGGATGGGAAAAAGAGCACTAGCCTTGATATTTTATGATAGTCACATTCTAATCAATTTTAAATTAATGTGCATTTTCAGTTCTGAATTTTTTTCTCATAATTAAAAATAGGTTATATGACCAGTGAGATACCTCAAAGGGTAACAGTGCTGCCCACGAAGTCTGACAACCTGAGTTCAGTCCCTAGAACTAACATGGTAGAAGGAGAGAAAACAACTAAAAATGTAATATTTTTAAATAGATCAATATTAATGAATTGCTAATTTGAAAATGGACATAAATTAACAAAACATAATTTGCAAACTTAAAATTAGGCATATTCCAAATTGGTATTAACCTATAAAATACTCCTTTGGAACTTATGAAAAATTGTTGCTATGTGGTTCAGGACAATTGGTCAAAATGCCTATGGCATGACAGTGTACAGATAAACCTATAAGAAACTACAAAAGCTGATCTCCCCCACTGGTCTCTCCTCCTAGCCTGGGTCCTCTCCCATTCCTTGTCTTGTGGCCCCAAACACCTGGGGAACCACTGCTTCCTGATCTTTTTCATCCAGACCAACTCAGTGCCTTCTCTGGTCCCCAGGAGCACTGCTTCTGGGCCTGGCCCTACCCTCACCTCCCTCTGCTTCCCTGGGTCTGCAGGACCCGCAGGCCTGTCTCCAACCCGCAGGCCTCTTTCACGGGTTTAAGTCCATCGTGCCCTCTGCACCTTGAATCCCCCAGCCTCATTCACCCTCCCATCTCCCAGGCCAGTCTCTCCTCCCCATTCCTTGTCTTGAAGCCCCAGACACCCAGGGAAACACCACTGCTTCCTGATCCTTTGCATCTAAACCAACTCAGTGCCTTCTCAGGTCCCCAGGAGCACTCTAGGCCTGGCCCCTCCCACACCACCCTCTACTTCCCTAGGCATGCACCACACACCAGCCTCTTTCCTGGGGGGACATGGGGGCTGACCTTTCCTCTTTCTGATCCTTTGCATCCAGACCAACCCAGCTCCTCAGTGCAGTCCCCAGGAGCCCTTGGGGCTGCTTCCAGCCCCCCATCTGCCTTTGCATCTCTGGGTGACATGGCCACAAGCTGACCTAGACCAGCATCTTTCCTGGGCCTGGCTCCCAGGCCAGTCCAACCCCCAAATTCCCGAGGCCAAAATCTTTCCTGGAGGGATCCAGACCTTAGGAGACAGTCTGAGAGCATCTGATCCTCATCTGACTTGGCCTCTGTGGGAACTCCTGAATACAAAAGCAATCGGGCCACTCCACTATTAGAGGAACCAGATTTTCATGCCCAAAGAGTAGACCACAAAGACACATAAAGTTCACAAAAAGAGGCAGATGTAAACCTGAAGGCTTGAGTCTCACACAAGAATCAGAAACTACAAAAGAAATCTACATGTCAAAATCACAGAGAAAAAATAATAACATGAAAAACCAAAATAAAATTCAGTGAATTTAAAGAACACACAAACAAGGTAATCATAGAGCTGAAGGAAGATAGGGATAAACTTCTGAATGAATTCAGAAAAGAGCTAGAAATATTGAAGAATACTCAGGCTGAAACAAAGAACGAAGTGAAACACTCCATAAGCAAATTAGAAACGACAGGAGAACGCCTCACCAATAGGATGAATGAAATGGAAAGCAGAGTATCGAGACTGGAAGATAAAGTGGACAAACTGGACCACTCAAGCAAAGATTATGAAAAATTTAAGAAATCACAAGACTGGAATATGCAGAAATTGTGTGCCGCCATAAAAAGACCAAACTTACGAATCATAGGCATACAGGAAGGAGAAGAATCCCAAGATAATGGCATGGACCAGGTCTTCAACAGAATCATGGAAGAAAATTTCCCAAAATTAAAGAAAGACATGCCCATACAAATACAAGAAGCCTATAGAACACCAGACAGACAGGACCAGAAAAGAAACTCTCCACAGCACATCATAGTAAAAACACTACACGTACAAAACAAAGAGACAATACTGAAAGCTGCAAAAGAGAACAAGTCACATATAAAGGAAAACCCATTAGGATTACAGCTGACTTTTCAGTGCAAACTATGAAAGCCAGAAGAGCCTGGACGAAAGTATTCCCAGTTTTAAATGACCACAGATGCCAACCACAATTACTATACCCAGCCAAAATGGCTATTATAGTTGAAGGGGAAAGAAAAATCATCCATGACATAAATAGGCTGAAGGAATTCATGTCCACAAAACCATCCCTTCAGAGAGTTCTCGAAGCAATACAAAGAGCTGAAGAAAGGAATGACTATACCCAAGGGGTTGCAGAAAGAAACCCAATAAAGGTATAATTATGGAAAAGTACAGCTATATCAAATATGTAAACAAATAAAAATGACAGGC